TATACATGTGCTGTACTTCCTTCAATTTTTTTTTTTCTCTCTATAAATACATAAACACATACTCATTTGGATTTGTAAATTAAAATTTTATTCTCCCATAATTATGCCAAATGACAGCAGCTTGTGGATGTTTTTTTTTTCCTCCTTAATCACGCCAGCGAGTCAGCTGATGCACCAACTCCCTCTCTCGGCCGTTCAATTCAGGAATGTCACTATATATAATTTATGGCCATTGGGGCATGTACCCCAAATGTACACAGGAAGATGTGACCTCCTTCGGGCTCTCCAAAGGAAAGCACATGGACGTACGCTGGGACAGCTCTTATGCAATGATCACAAAGACGATGACACTAAAAAAAAGTACAAAAAAATGGAACAAAATGGAACAAAAAATGTACCAGAAATAGGAAAGCTACACTGAAATGTAAACTTTACAATTTAAAAAAAAAAGAGAAAAAACCACACGCTAAATTAAGCCCCCCCTCCAAAAAAAAAAAAAAAAAAAATGAACAAAAATAACATCACATCATTTCAAACAAATTTATAATGCGTACCCCGTCATGATGGTATTTATTTTTTCTCCACAACGTAAGTAAACACTTTTGTAAAAAAAAAAAAAAAAACATTTTTCTTTTAAGCCCCTACCGCCTTCATATAAATGAAACATTGTTCCACAATTCAGTTCCTTTTAACTTTCTTAAGAAGTATCTTTATTCAAATTAATTATTTTTTCAATTCCTCTGTTGTTGGTTTTTTTTTTTCAAAATTGTAACTTTCTCATTGTATTTACTTTCTTAATTGCCAATTTTAGTGACCATCACTCTCAGGATTCAACGTAAGTTTTTTTTTTTTTTCTCTTTTTTTGTACAAATAAAAAATTGTGCTAAAAATGTATCCATACGTATATAATGGATCGCCCTGTACGCACATATACTTATGTATCTAAATATGCCTGTAAATTTATTCCTACATTTTTCGTACCGTCGCCTACATACGCTCACACTTTGTGCAAAATATATGCCCATTTGTTTATTCACCATATGAGCGACTGTGTGTTTATCAAATGAGTAGCTGTGTATTCACCATATGGGCGACTGTGTATTCACCATATGAGCGACTGTGTACTTCCTAAAATGGTTTTCTCTTTACATACCAAACGTATCACCTGTTTGCGCACGAAAATGCTGACTCCACGGTCATTTTCCCCACCTTTTTGAAGGCCCCTGTGACAAGCCACGCCACCCTCCACACATTGCTAACGTCTAAATCCACCCCGCAAAATGAGCAGAAAATATTTCGTAGCAGCCAACTGGAAATGCAATGGAACCCAGGAAAGCATAAAGGCCCTGACGGCTAGCTTTAATGAGTTGGACGTTGACCCCGCCAAGCTGGGTAAGTCGTGCAGGAGGAACTGCGCCACGGCCATGTAGATGTCTATGCGGGCATGATTAATGCTCCGTGACGATTTCTCCATGCCAATGCTGAACCCCCTTCCAATTGCAGATGTTGTCGTTTTCCCCGTGAGCGTGCACTACGAATTGGCAAAGAGCTTGCTGAAGCCAAAGTTTCACACAGGCATACAAAATGTATCAAAGTACGGAAATGGATCCTACACAGGAGAAATCAGCGCAGAAATTGCCAAGGACCTTAACATTGAATATGTAATCATTGGACATTTTGAAAGAAGAAAATATTTTAACGAAACGGATGAAGATGTAAAGGAGAAACTACAACAGTGTTTAAAAAATAACTTAAAAGTTGTTGTCTGTTTTGGTGAGTCATTAGAACAGAGAGAAAAAAATCAAACCATCGACGTGATAAAAAAACAAGTCAACAGCTTTGTTCATTTAATTAACAACTTCGATAATGTTGTTTTGGCATATGAACCAATTTGGGCCATTGGAACGGGAAAGACAGCAACACCTGAACAAGCCCAAGAGGTCCATAAGGAAATCAGAAATATTGTTAAAGAAAAATGTGGAGAAAAAAATGCTAACCAGATCAGAATTCTGTATGGGGGTAGTGTTAATACTGAAAATTGTGTATCCCTAATTAAGCAGCAAGATATTGATGGGTTCCTAGTTGGAAATGCTTCCTTGAAGCCATCCTTTGTTGACATTATCAAAAGTGCTATGTAAACAAATAAGAGAGAGAGCGAGAGTGACCTTTGTAGGGAAGTCATCACCGTGATTATGTTTTCATCTTCATCATCATCATCAGCAGCGCTGAGGAAAATGGCAACCCCGACCCCACCCTTCCGACGCCGTTACATCCTGTACATTATTTTTTATATAAGAGTTATGTATAAATATACCTCCATCACATCAGTTGTACTATTCAGCAACTGTTGCAACATCTGTACATATACACATACACATATTAATATACTTTTTTGCGTACGCTTTGTGCTCGTGATATACTAAGCCGTGCATAGGATTAGATCCATTCACACATTGCATCTTCACATAATGCCATTTGGTTTATAAGAAAGAAAAAAAAAAAAAAATTCACAAGTTAAAAAAAAAAGACAAAAAAAAAAAATAAAACGTCAATTTAGAGATTCATAAAGGATGATATAAATAATTAATAATAACACTTCAATTTTATTTGAAGAGTGAACAAAAAAAAAAAAAAAAAATGAACACTCCCACGTGGAGGACGCGCCAAACGAAGGGGTTATGCGTACGAATGAATAAAGCGAATTAAGATAAACTCGCCAAATGAGGACACATATTAAACACACATATAACGTCGAAACAAAAAAAATAAGTAAACTTAAAAAGGAAGCGAAAACGCCAAAAGGTGTAACAAAAAAATGATCAAATGGGAGGTGTCGCAAAGGTGACATATGGGGATTCACCGCGCAGCCCTCACTGAGATGACCTGTTCTTCTGAATGATCTTCGATATGGAGGGCAACAGGTCCTGGGTGAGGGTAACGTTCAAGTACTTCTTCAGGGTACCCATAATTGTGTACGCCGCTAAATATTCGTCCATTTCGTCTACGTTTATTCTACACGGGGAGCCAAAGTAGGGGTGAAAGTGATGAGTAGTTAGACCAAGGAGAGGGGAAGAGACGTGAGGGGACACCTTCCTCTTTCATGTTGCATTATTTTGTACGCGTCCCTCCTGTGCATAAGATGTACGTTCAATTATCTCTCCCAACGTGTGCGACGTGTCGAAAAATTTGAGTGCCTACCTGTTCTTTATCTTTTCGTTAATCCCCTTGGTTTGCGCCAGTTCTTTTATTTTCCGCTCGATCTGTTGGGGTGTGAGGAAGGGGTAATTATGGACAAATGGTAAATATGGGTAGACGGCAAAAAAGGAAAAGCAGCGGCTGAGCAGACCCATCTGCACGCCTGTATACACCGCTACACCCATCGAACCTCCTGAAAATTATCCGTTTTGTTCAAATTCAAGCAGGATGATATGGACCTCACAAAGTAGGACTGCGTTTTGAGCTGTAAAAGGGGGGGGGGGGCAAGACATTGTAACGTATGTGCATGCGTGGGGGAGGAAGACGAAAGTTGGTCTGTCTACCCAAATGCACCAACCCCTCACGAGTGTACGCGACGGCATGGACGTGTCCCATAACGCACCTTTGAGTTCATCGAATTCATATGCGGGATGATGTTGCAGATTTTGTCAATGCTGTAGAGGTTCATGTACGTCTTAATTATTTTGCTGATTATTTCTTTCGAATGCTTGTTGATTATGTATTCGGCCTTTTCGAAGGAGTCCTGCGGGGTGCAAGTGGCGCAAAAGTGGTTTACACGTGGTTTAGACGCGGTTTACACGTGATTCACACGCCGTTTACAGGCGGTGTAGAGTGGGCGTAGACGCGGCGCGTTCTGCGAGCCGGCTTGCCGTACATTGGAATATTTGGACATCTCCAAATTCTTCTGGTACAAACTTCTGACTATGTTCAAGCAAGTTCTGTCCATGTCGCTCCTTCTGACGTCCTTCAAATCTTGTTGCAAAATTAAAAGCACATTCCTCCGGAACAGATAATACTTCTGCCCATTCACATAGTAGCTCTTCCACTTCTTTATCACATTTATGTACTCATCAAATTTGGTAGAATTTATCGAAATTATTGAGGCGACTTTGTAAAAGAAGGAAGTAAATAAGGGGAACTGTTCATACACCATAAAGGACAAAAATTTTACAAACTGGAGTACGAAAAAAATATTATCACTTTTTAATTCGCTACATATACTTATGAATATATTGACCAATTCTGTCTTTTCAAATTTCATTAATTTGTCATGTAGGTCATTTATTTTCTCTTCAATATTGGGCATATTCTCTGTGCATTTTTCATTCCATTTTGTGAATTCGCTAATTTTGAACCCGTTGTTGGATTCACTCATGGGGTTCTTTTCTACGTACATCTTTACAAACTCGTTCAGGTAGTTGTGTTCCGTCGTGGCCTTCGAGTTGTGCAGGCCGACTGGCACTAAGCCGCTCGCCAAGCCAAGGCCACTCACCGAACCGATGACACTAACACTACCAACACTGCCAGCCATGTTATTACCGCTAACCATACCAATGCCGCTCACCAAGGGAACGATATTAACCCCGGGCCCCATCACGTGGCCACCCCCTGACTCACTTCCCATTTGGACACTGCTCATGGTGAATTCTGCAGACGGCCCGGGCATATTACAAGACGTCACGGTGGCATTCATCTGAGTATTAGGATTATTCTTCCTCGACAATGCAACAGAGCATTTACCAAAATCGTCGTGGCTGCTTCCCCCATTGGAGTTTCGAGCCAAACTAACATCCATCTTTTTGGCCAAATTATCCTTCTCACTGCTTTGTAGATGAGCGTAACCCTTCTCATCCCCTTGGGGATGCGTCTCACCCATGGTTTGACTGAAATCCCGTTTTTGCACATTATCACTTTTTATATAATTTACATTTTCGCGAAAAATATTTTGGTACACTTCTACAATTTTCTCAGATGCGTCCAATTTATTTTTAATATTCTGCAGCTCCTGCTTTTGCTCCAGTTGTTCAATTTTTTGGTCATACAAAATTTTCTGATTGTCAAAATTTTTTTTTATTTCATTCATTTCGTTAAATAAATTTTGGCACATTTTTTTATACGTGCCTTCATTGGTTTGCTCACGTGTGTCTGCCTGGGTTGGGTTACCCTTTTGGAGAGCGGCCTTTCTCCTTCTTCCTTCCCCATCCGCATCATCACTGGAGTATGCAGCGGAATGGGCACACGAATTAGTGTTGGACTGATCGCCGGGGTGCCCACCCCGAAGGCTCCCCCCCCCTGAGCACTTTCTAAGCTTCTTGATGAGCATGATTTTCTCCTTGGCCTCACTTTTAAGCAGGTCCTTCAAATTCCTGATCTCTTTGTTAAGCATGCACATCTCAACCTCGTAATGCTTCGAAATGTCTAGGCATTGCTTATCAACCAGAGTGGTGTGCTTTTTGTTCAGTACCTGCTTCACAGTAGCAGCTGCATCCTGTTTGCACTTGTCAATTTCGTCCAATACTACCTGGTACTGCTTTTTCAACTTGTCCAATTCGCTATCCTTGCTACTTATTTTGTGATTCAGTTTGTTGACTTTATTTTTATATATATTAATGTCCTTCTCATAATTAGCAATTTTTTTTCCTTGTTCAGCTATTTTAAGATTTAAGTTTGTCCTTTCCTTAATGTCTTTCTTTTTCACAAGTTCGTTCTTTTGCAGCACTTCTATTTTCAATTTTTCATTCTCTTCATTCAGATTCTCTATCTTCTTTTCATATTCGTTCAGCTTGTTTATTTCTCCTAACAAGGAGTTCATTTTTTTATTTTTCGCATTATTTTCATTCGTCAACAAGTAAATTATATCTATACAATTATACAGGACATTTTTCCATTTCACTTGATTCTTTTCTTTGTCTTCTTTTGGCAATTTTATTTTTTTTTTTATTTTATTCAATTTGAGATGATTATTCAGCTTCTCAATTTCGTTAACATCTTCTTCATCCAGCATAACAGTTTCTTTGTTCGGTTCCCTTCCCATGTGTTGACTGCCCTGTGATGATTGAACCTCGTCTCCATATTGTTTACCTATGGTTTGATTCACTCCGTTGTTACAAATAAGAGTGCTGTTCTTCTCTCTCAGCTCCCCTGCGCCCCCTTCAACTGGCGCGACATCTTCGTCTATCCCCCCCTGGTCACGCTTCGATGCATGACTCAAATTTGGCTCCCTTTCAACTTCGCCCAGAACATCCTTGCTGTCTATGTCCGTATTGCCCCTCCTACTCAGCAACCTCTCAACAACGTCATTTATGCTGTCCTTTATTTTTTCCCTGATCAGTTCTGCCAGTACGTCTTCATTAATGCGGTTGGTGGAGACGTCCCCAGGCACTGCACACGCAGAGTGTTGCGTCTGGTGTGATATGGGCCCGAAGTGTTTGTTAGCAGCACTACTATCGATGCGTCCCTGCGAACTGCCAAATATCAACCCCCGTATATCATTCGCATTGACGCTACCAAAGCTGCTATTTATGTAGTCGAACCAATACTGCCTCAAGTCACGCCCGTCCATGACTTCCCTCCTCCTGTCAGAAACGTAACCCTCTCCAGAGATTATCCTAACCGTGTTGTCGGTATTTCTTGATTCGGAGAAATCACTGCTCTCTTTCCCTCCGAAATCGGCAGTCTCGCCTAACTTGTTCAAACCACTTTTGCTCCCCACAGGAAGTAATTCCCTCCCCACAAAGGAACCATTATAAAAACTCATTCCATTGCCCTCATCCATATGCGCATTCGTCATTCCATCAGCAGGTATAATGGCATTGGCGTGTTTACTGGCCACACTTCTATGCATTACACTCCCTTCTTCACAATTACCCATGTGTGCTTTCTCAAAGAAGGATGGCAATTCATGTGATTTGTTTATGTCCACAAAGCCCACAACACCATCGTACGTATGCTTATTAACACCTCCAATATCTACGGTGATGTTTTTTTTTTTCTTAACCGCATTTGCATAATTTGGTCTTCTCTCCCCTACATCGTTATAATGACTACTCCTCAGATATACATGTTCAGAACTATTGGAGAAGTTTTTTTTTTTTCTCTCTGCCTTCGATTGAGTATTTGCTGGTGTTGTGAAGAACATCCCTCTCATCATCGCTATGCTTGTGCAAATTGCTCAATTTGGTGAAAATGATTCCGTTTTTCGCGTTGGACAGATCGCTTCCACGTATTATTGTTCCCTCCTCCGAATCCATCTCTTTCATAGTGTTATAGCTCCTTTCATTATTGTAATTGACATTCTTGCTCACCTCTGTGTGGTCACCAGCGTTTATGTTATGCTCACTTTTGCTCCATCTGCTATGGTTCTCTTCCTCGTGGCTAGCTAAATTTACAGTGCTCCTTTTTAAAGAATTAAAACGAACAGGAGGGTTATCAACCCCCGTGCTGTATTCACGAACATACACATCTGTGTGTGGGTCCTTATCAAACTTGTTTACCAAACTGGTGCTTTTTTTTATATCCCCAAAACTGGCACTCCTATGAATTGCAAATTGGTCTATTTGGTTAATTCCTGTTTGAGACCTTTGCAACATCATGGAGTTAACCACCAAATTGTTTTTGCTTACATCAAAGGGTCTGTCATCATGGGTATCTACCTTACCATTCCATGGGCTGGCATATTGGTAGTCTCCTCCCCTGTGCAACGCGCCTTCCCCAAAGGAGACCTCGTGGACGCCTGGCTTCTCCATTATTGAATTAGCTAGCGACATGTCTCTTAACATCAAACTTCTTCCCAAATCACACCCGTGGGGTAACGCGTCACTTACATGCTTCATCATCTGTAGCGGCATGGTTCTCTCCCTGTCACACTGCTTGGACTCGGCGAACAGGTTTTCCCGAAACGATTTCGTATTTATTATATGAAATTGATTTGAACAAAATATATTGTCATTAAAACTGACGTTATTGTTTGAGACAAAATTGCCCAAAAAATTTACGCCTCTATTCTCTGCAATCCTTCCAGTAGTGGTTGCACTACCTTTTCCAATTTCATCTCGTCCATATTTTCCCCTCATTATTTCATTGTATTCCTCTTTAGTCTTTACAAAATTGTACTTTTGCGATGTGGAAGCCTTCAGAAGGGTCCCACTCTCTCCTCCTCCTCCTCCTCCTCCGCCCCCTCCATTGTAGCTCCTTCTATATTTAGTATCATCCCCTTGGTTAGAGACCATACTTTTAAATTTATCCAAATGGGAAACAGCACTCACTTCTTCCTCCGTAACAAAATGGCTATCCCTTTTTTTGTCCTGTTCTCCTTTCGAAATTAAGTCTTCAATTATTTGTGGATTCTCGCTTGGTGGCAAATAACTGCCACTACCCTTTTCAGCCTCCGCCCCAGGGTGGACAACTCCACCTTTTTCATCATCACAAGGATAATGTACATTTCCCTCCTGCTCAAGTCCATTTTTGCTCGTCTTTCCAGCCAAATAATATGTAATAAATGGTGTGTTCGTCCCCTCTTCATCTTTGTCCTCTTTCAAATTAGCAGGAGTCTCCAGTTCGCTCATATTCATCTTCCCAGCTGTTTCGAACTTTAAATAATCAAAATAGCTCTTCGAGAAACTTTTACTTGGAGTTTTATTTAAATCTACATCGTTTAGGTACATCTTATTTAAGT